TTAATTTACTTTTCTCCTCCTAGGCCAGTGCCTAGACCAGTGCCCAGCTGTCCTGACCCTCAGTCTAGAACTCATTTCATTATAACACATTGCTCCTGACAAATAACCATACCACTCACAACTATTTTCATAAAGTCCCCATGTGGATAATCTGGATCATAAATATTAATGATAAATTTCAGCAAGCAGTGCAGTGTAACTTGGCCAGCCCACAAATCTCTGCATCTCCTCTGATTTTTCTCTTTCTTTTTTTTTTGTCCTTTTTGAGACCGGCCACACCGCGCTCAGCCAGTGAGTGCACCAGTCAACCCTATATAGGATCCGAACCCACGGCGGGAGCGCTGTTGCGCTCCCAGCGCCGCACTCTCCCGAGTGCGCCATGGGCTCGGCCCTGATTTTTCTCTTTCAATGTCAAAGCCAATCCTTCCTTCTCTTACCCTTTGGCAAACATTTCAAAAGGTAATCCCAACTTCATTAACAAGGAATTAACAAGGCCTTTTAGAGACAGAAGAAAAAGCAATTATCTCTGCCCACCTCATCTGGTACTATCTCAATATATTGTGATCATCAAGTAAAAAATTAAAATAATTATCCTTTTAAATAATCTAGAGCTTCACCTAGTGCAGTAGCCACTAGCTACATGTGGCTATTGAGTACTTGAGATGTGGCTAGCCTGAATTGAGATGTGCTTTAAGTATAAAATACACACTGGATTTCAAATACTTAGAACAAAGAAAGGAATGTAAATTACAGTTCAATAATTCTTATATTGATTACATACTAGAACAATACTATTTTACATATAATAGAAAAAAATGCATTTAAAAATTAGTTTCATCTGTTTCTTGTTACATTTTTTAATGTGGCTACTAGGAGATTTAAAATTACATATGTGACTTGCGTTTGTGGTTTACATTGTTGGAGAGCACCAGTGTAGAGCTATACAAAAATAAAGGGTTTCCATTTACCATTTCATTTTCCTCCCCAGCACTGACACGCCAGTATGCTGCTCTGTTGGGCTGTCCCAGCTCCATCTGCAGTCATTCTTCTTCCTTATTTGTGGCCAGAGGCAATGTATTTCTGAATTTGGACTCAAAAACAAGTAGCAGCT